GGATCTCTCTTTGTAAGTAAAGCAATTTGATGTGAGAAATGAGAAAGCATGGCTTCCGAAGCTTCATTTGTGATTCCCCATTCCTTTTGGGACTAGGGTATGACGTATTGGTGGACATTATTGACCAACTGGCAAATTTAAAAGCTGCATTTAAGTTCTGAAAATGAGGCAGTGTTCATTAAAGTAAATATTTTTAAAAGAGGAAAAAACGGTGAGTTGTCCTGTGTCGTGGGGTTCTGTCACCATGCAGCATGTCATCTCTGCTTGGGTCATTATGTTCCCTACGTGGGAAGATGGAGTTGCTTGGAACACATAGCTGGAAGGTGACATTGCTGACTCTTATACCATCTGCCACACCACACTGCTGCCTTTCATAGATTTTTTTAAAAGGCTTTGTTCTTATTTAGAGATGTAAAAGGAGATTTTATTTTTAAACCAGAAGACCTAGTATTTTATTATAAATATCTCCAAGTAGTTGTTCTACACTGGTTTTCAGAGGGATTTATGGAGGGTACATCAGATCTGGGTTCTAGTCCTAGTTTCCCACTTCCTCCTTCTTTGAGCTTCCATTTTTTTTCTTTTATGTAGCAAAGCCAACAAGCTCATTCCTATGACATTTGCAATCCAGGACAAGGCATAAGGCACTCAGTTACTAAATGGCGACCTTTGTAACACTATAATTTTGAAATAGCTTTCTATGCAACTCTGATTTAAGCCTCATGAAGCGTACAGTCTGTTGGGAGAGATAAATGAGATAAAGAAAATATATGTATACTAATGATATGCACTAAAAAAAAAGAGAGAGGAAGGATATAAAATATTGGGGAGAAGTTTTCATCAAATAGGGTAAACCATTAATACCTCAACAAGATGGGGACTCCTGAGTAAACACCTGAAGAAGAAGGTGCTACCCACGTAGATGTCTACAAGGAGAACATTTCAGGTGGGAGGGAGGACAGCAAGTGCAAAGTGCCTGAGGTAGGAATGCACAAGAACTGCCCAAGAATGACATGAAGAGTGGCGTGGCTGATATAGGAATAGTAGGAGATGTGGACAGAGAGGTAACAGTGGGCCAGCTGGTAGATCAAGTAGGGTGTTGTAGGTCATAGTAAGGACTTTAGGGGGTTTGAGCAGAGGAGCAGTATGATCTGATTTACTTTGTTAAAAAAAATCCTTTTGTGCTGTATTGAGAATAAACTACTGCAGAGAGAGGAGAAGAGGAGGTTGGACAACAAGGGCAGAAGCACTGGGGCCAAAATAAGAGGCAAATGCAGTAATTCTGACCATTCCCACATTGCATTGGTCACCTTTCCACTGCTAAAACAAATAGCTGAGAGAATCCACTTATAAAGAGAAAAGATTATTGTGGCGCACAGTTGGTAGGTTCTGGTCCATGACTGGTTGCCCCATTGCTTTGGTGGCACATCATGCTTGAAGCAGGTGGCAAAGCAAAACCACTCCCCTCATGGCCAGAGAACTAAAGAGGCAAAGAGGAATGGGCGCTGCCCCTCCAGTGACCTTAGAACCTACCACTAGGCTCCGCCTCCTAACTTTCCACCACCTCCTAATAGGACCACCCTGGCAAGCAAGCCTGTAACACAGGTTTTTGGGAGGCTCAGCCCAGCTCATGTCCATTCTGTCCTAATGGAGTCATTCTGGAGTATTAGCATTGAGATGCAGCAGGTTTTTTCCTGTGTCCCTGTTAACATTTATAAACAGAGGGAGGAAGGGCTTTTTCTTTAGTAGACTGTGGTACTGCACGACAGCCTATTTGCATATGCTTTGCATATAACTCTGTACACTGTACTTTGTACAGTGTTCCCGTCTACTTTGTAAAAATGGATCCCTCTTTGTCAGTTGTCATACCGAGGCAATCCCTGGTGGTCATTCCATGGCAACCAAGACTTCAGGGAAGTGCAGCTTTATTGTGAGCATTACCAATTCTTATGTCATCAGCCACCAAAGGAAAAGTAGGTTAGTGGGGCTGGTGAATCCCATTGCGATGCATGCGAACAGTGGAGCAGGGTTTCCTACCATCCCTTAGTGCACATCACGTGGAAGAGGAGGGCTTGCTGCAGGAAGCAGCTGTTCTGTTCCTGTCAGCTTGGAGCTTCACTTTTCTTCCTTTATTCTATTGGTGGGGATTTGCTTCTTACAGCCTTAGAACTGATGCTTCTTTCAAGGGTGTCTGAAAATCATTTGTGTGTGTATATATCAGAAAACTGGAGTAAATTTATAGCTTACTAGATTGAGATTCAACTTCACTCATGTGACTTTTGTACAGACTGTCATGAAATTCTCAAGTAAAATTCATTTTAATTTTTGTGTGTGTGTGTGGGTGTGGGTGTGTGCGCGCGCATGCACCTTATGGGTAGAGAGTACGTGTTGTAGGTCATACCTGCTGGAAGTAATGGATTTACATCAGTATGGTTTAACTTCTGCAGCCCCGAAAACCCCTTTGATTATCTTACAAGAATCTATGAATTGTAGCCATTTCAACAGAGTCAGATCAAATATGAATGGATGAGGTGCAATTTACTATATGATAAGGCATCAGTAACCTATGCATAGTTTATAAGTTGAGTATATTTGTCAGTTTAATTCATGTTTTCCCTAGTAGAAAAGAAACTAGATGATCATTTTACATGTTTTATATATTAAGAATGGAAAGTTTAAAAATGAAATATCTAGTCATGTATTTTATATTTTATTTCCACAGTGCTTTTTTAAAAAATCGTTGTTAATCTCCTTGCAGTTAAAGAAAAAATGAGTTCTTGTCAATTTCAAGGATGTTGCTTGTCTGAAGTCATATTTATGTGACCATCACCACTGTTTTTAACAGTCCTAACACATCCACGTGAACCATCTCGTTAAGTCCTAAGAGCATCTCCGTAGGGGCAGAAGGTAGTCAGTGTAGCTGCACTTTACAGAAAAGGAAAGATCAAGGGTTTGGAACAGGTTTACATCTTTGGATTCTTAGCATAGGGCCCCATCCCTGTAGCTTTTTCCGGATTTGTGGTGCTCTAGAAGTAGTAGCAGAATAAATACAGATGTTTTGCAGCAAGGTAACTTTAGTAGCAAAAACAATGATGCCAGTGTTCTTCTGTCTGAGATTTCTTTTTTTGTTGTTGTTACCATATTTCTGTACATTGTAACATTTACCAACACTTGCAATATATTTTAGGCAAATTCACCCCCCATCATTCTCCTTTATCCCTCCTCACCCCTCTTCTTAGAATAGTTTCAATAGGTCACATTTTTCCATTTTCATACATGAGTACATAGTATTTCTACCATAGTCACCTTCCTTCACCCTTCCCTATATTCTCCCCACTCCCATTGGTACCAACCCCCAGACTGGACCCATTTTACCTTCTGTACTTCATTTTTAAAAAATGACATTTTTGTTTAAGGTAGCTACACAGGGAGTTTCCTTGTGACATTTCCATATATATATATATATGTATTACATCCCAAATTGGTTCATCCCCTCCATTTTTCTCCTTTTTTATCTTAGTCCCCCTCTTGTGGTGATTTCAACAGGTTTAGCTATTCCATTTTCATTCTTATGTAGAAAAATAAATCAACTATATTCACCTTCTTTACTTCCTTCTTCTACCCTCTCCCTTCTGTTAGTGCCCTCCCCTGTTTTTCATTCTTGTCTTTCATCATTTGGGTGTCAGTGGGATTTGTGCCTTGGTGTTATACCTGTGCATACATGGTGATTAAGTTCCTGTAACCCCCTTCCACTGTACTTCCTTGCTTTTTTTCCCTTCCTCCCACTTACAGTTTTCATTGTTTTTTGTTGTGTCTTGTTCCTACACAGATATTCACTATCTTTCTTTCCTTCTTTTCTTCCTCACTTGGAGTCTGAGATTTCTAACCAGTGAATTTCTGTGGTTCTTCCATGTATCCTCTTAGAAACATGCAGTAAATTCAGAAAGGCATTCAAACATGCCTTTAAAGATAGACAAATAAGTCAGAAGAGAACAGTGTGATTTCCTTTGTAGAAAGTTCAGATATAAGCAGGACAAAGCTGTCCAGTGATTACCCTTGTTGAGGGTGTAGCTAGGGTGATGCTGTTATGCAGATGTTCCCTGCGGGAAGGTCCACTCACCTCATTTCCATGGGTGGTAATTCAGATTAAATACTTTAGAGTTGAAGAACATTTGTTATGCATTTATTATATGTAATAAACTATTTCCCCACAAAAGCCAATTGCCCCTTTCTGTTGTTCCTAAGTATGGCACATTTATTTTGAGTTCTTGGAGCTTCCTTGTCACAGAGCTCTTGTGACATCCGTCATAAAATGCTTGCCAACATGACTTTCTTGCTTATACTTTCTAAGGTGTTATGTGAAGAAAGATATTGAAAAAGTGCTGTTCAGTTAGGATGCTAATCTGTATGAAAACAGACATAGCAAGAAATGTTTTCATGGAATTCTGATAAGGCCCAGAGCCGAGCTTTCGTCAGCTTCTTATAATTTAACAATTTCACATTGATTTTCTTTCCGTAGTGATAGTTTTCAGAAGAGCACAAATAGTTGGATAATAATAACTCTGCCATTTTCAAATGTTCCTTGAGGTCAGAGCCTCAAGAAATAAGATTGAAACGAGAAATTACTTTGAGCAAAACTACATTTTAATAAAAATGGAAGCTAGTGGCCACAGCTGTTGTGTTTCTCTAGGCTTCTAATGTTAGGCAAAACCAGAAGCTTTCTGACCATGGTGAAGATCAGGAAAACTGGAAGAACCTAAAGGATTTTGTGGGTCAGCAAAACCTGCTGTCCTCATAATTTACAGACCGCTGTGAGAGTGAATCATATACATTAAGGCTTTATGTGAGGATGAGCAGTGTTCTTGCAAATCATTGCTTCTGTTCTTAAACATGAGTGGTTCGTCAGCTTCCTTTAAATTGGTCTAATTATTAAAGCTAAAATGTATTTCTAACTGTTCCTGTCAGCCTACTTACACATTGTGATTTCTTTTTTTCCTCTGCAGTGTTCTCTCTCTTCATCAGAAGAGGAAAGACTTATTGGCATCAGGAGACCTAAAACGCCAACCTCAGGTGACCTTAATACACAGACAAACTGGACCAAGTCACTGCCACTGCCTACACCAGAAGAGAAGATGCGACAGCAGGCCCAAACAGTCCAGGCTGATGTGGTCCCTATTAACATAACTGGTACGCTCTGCTGGGCAGACACAGTCGGAATGTCCTTGGGAGAGTGGCTGTGGCTTGTTGTGCAGTATATGTTCTTAGTATTTTGTTTATACATGAAAGTGAGTAGCTGTGGTCTGGCTTCCTGCTCTTTGATTTGTGAAGGAACTAGTAAAACTCCATTTGTGTGTGCACGTAAAATATCTGTTGCTTTTTAGTGAGAATACTGTCACCAAAGGTTAGTATCGAAGAACTTGATGGTTCAACTGTTCATCTAATAGGTGTATTTTAAATTTAATTGTTTTTAAATAACATTTTGGTTCTATAAAAACATCTTCTAAATGTGGTCCTGAGTAAGAAAAAAAATTGTGTATTCCCTTCTACAGGGTTACTAGAAGTGAACAAATAATTACTTTGTGATATTTCCAATAGATTTTCTTACCTCCTTTTTTCAAGAAGAGAAGGGGAAATTTTGAAAATATCAAGTGATTAATAACTGTAAAATGTATTTTAAAAATCTTAGGAGGATGATAATGTTATATTTTGATTTCTATAATTTGAAATCCACCATCTTTAAATAAAAATCCATTCCCACTTAACCAATGTTTACAATTGTTACATTCAGTTGGAATGTCAGATTAATTGCTAGATCTGAAGTTGTAGACTATTATAACCAGCCTTTAATCTGTGTTAAGGTGACAAATAACAAGGTACATAAAGCTCCAAGATCATCTTTCACAGACTTAGAAGAGCCATTAAAAAGATAATCAAAATGTGCCTGCTTTCTCACCTCCGTACCCTGCAAAGAGCATTGGTCAGTGGTTTGGGGAGGGACAGAATACAAAACAGGCTTCAGGGGCTAGGACTTGCCTAGCATGTACAAGGCCCTGGATTCAATTCCCAACATCCCTACCATAAGATAAAAAGAATTAATAACGTCAATCATTTCATTATATTATGTGGAAATAGATGACTAGTGTCATTATTGATAATCAGTCCAATAAGACATGGCCTATAAACACTCAAAATTGGCTGACCAAAAAGGAGGATTTTCCAATAACAATTAGAATGAAAACCCATAGCAGCCTGACTCTCTTCTGAGGTATTGCTGTTTCCAGCTTGTTGCCATGGCATTGCTGAGCATGTAAGGCTAATAACATTTTGATAATTATTGAAGATTTTTAAGAACCATTACAGGATATTAGGAAATTACATTTGGAATTCTTCATTTGAATTCCATAGACATTTAATAAATAAATGCATGAATTATTTTCAATTCCACATGCATTTTTTTGGGTTTTTTGGGTGGGACTGGGGTTTGAACTCAGGGCTTCATGCACACAAATCAGAGTCTCTACGGCTTGAGCCACTCCTCCAGTCCATTTTACTCTGGTTATTTTGGAGATAGGGATCTCATGAACTATTTTCCCAGGCTGGCCTCGAACACAATCCTCCCGATTTCAGCCTCTCAAATAGCTAGGATTACTGGCATGAGCCATGGGGACTGGTACAATTCCACATACATTTTTTTCACATTTATTTTACTTAAGTCTTAAAGAAACAGCATGACACTTTAACCCATTTTCTTTATAAATAACACTGGTGAGCTCCATGAATTGCTTCTCCTTTACCTAGCTCATGTTTTTAAAAGATTGTTTTTAAAGTAGCTATGTTTTTAGAACAAAATGTGGTATTTATTGCTTGATTAAATACTTAGGCACATATTTTTCTATAAGAAATTGAGAACTACGTTATTTGATTCATTAAATGCAGTAGAAATGTAATTAGGTATGATTAAAAGCCTAAAAGATATTATGAAATGAGAAGATTATGTTATGCACTACGACAATCTTAATAGAATCAGGCTGAAATGCATTATCTTGAGATCAGGAGATTGAAAATAGAGGCACTAGTTTCAGGAATAAAGAATTATTTGCAATGAAATACATTGTTGCATGGGAAGGCAGTGTCATATCTCTAAGCTTTAATTCTCTCCTGTTTGATGACTAAATGGATGTGAATTACAGGGTGTTTAAAAGGAATCCGTTAAATGCCACCCAGGAAACCCAAATGACAATGATGAAATGAGCAACTGCATTATGTCAAAATGCAATTTATTTTTCATTGAGCCATTAACATTTTGCAGGAATGCCAACATTAAATGTAATACCTAATTACGTAGTTACTGTTCTATTTTCTGGATCTGTGTATTCACGTACACATATGTTTCTTAAAGGATTAGTCTTTCTTATCTGGTCTAGAGAAGCAATAAATCTAAAACTTTTACTTTGGGTAGTTGAATCGATGCAGGTTACATAGCCTCCTTCTCCTTAAGTGGCATATTTCTAAAGTCCTGTATGATTGTTGAGATAAAAATATACCTTCTTGTAGGAAATTGTCATATGCTTATTAATTTGAGCAAGTGTTGACCCTCTAGTTTGATTTTTACTAAGGATCAGCAGAAAAAAAGGTACCAATAAATATAATACTTCAAATGCAGAATGAAGCCCAGCGGACTGAGATACAAAACGTTAACACAGTGAGCTCCTGGCCTGAAAGCTGCTTTAATCCCTTTAGTTACAGTTCTCTGGAGACCTGGTATGTTCTAAAAGTTCAAGAGAACAGAATGTTGGCAGTAAAAAGTGCCATGTGAGGTAGCAGCTCTTCCACCTAGAAGCTCCATGTACTAGGCAAACATGCTTAAGCAGCTTTTGCAAACTGGCTTTGTGCTGATGTTTGAGCTGCTTCAGTTTACTTCTAAATAGTAACCAGGACTCACTCATGCCCTTTGTCAGTAAAAGGGAGTGATTGAATTCAGTAGACACTTATTAAATGACTACTTCATACCAGGCACTAGGCAACCACCAGAGGGGAGTCCAAGGTCCAGAAGTCTTGGTCTCTATCTCAAGAAATGTGTAGCCCAGCAGGTGAGATAGTCTTTTTAGGTCACAACACAGGAAGGAACATTTCATTCCTTTGATGGTGTGTGTCAGATGTTTATCCACATATGGTTTGTTTCCTTGGAGCTCTGGTGGTTTTGCTTTTTTTTGTTTTTTTAATCTGGGAAGCAAAACTGGAGACAAAATGCAACTTCCTACTAACGTTTTACCTATTCTTCATGTCATAATGCAAGGGATTTCTTTTCTTCTGCTGCAGGAAGCTAATGAACCACTGACTATGTCCTGCCCTTATTAAGCATCATTTATTCTACTGCACATAAGTGACCCATTTACTCGCAATGCTGCCTTCTGGTGCTTCAGGCCTTCTCTCAATCATTTCTGGTTTTTTCCATTCTGAAAAAAAGTTGCAAGAATTTGCAAGTTTGCAAGCATTTATTATTCAAGTCTGTTCCTCAGCAGGTTGAAGTTAGATAGGGTTCACAATTTAGTCCAACAAATTAAAGAGACATGGTCTACAACATACCCACTTTGAATGTGTCCACATTACTAAGCAAGAATGAACATTTTTATAGTTTTCGTATGCATAGAATGATGGATGAATGTGATTTATGTGTATACACATATTTTCTAAAATCTCTTTTTAAAGAGAATAGCCATGTAAAATGGTCAATGCTATAAAACTTCCTTTAATCAAAGTGGCAAGTCATTTAAAGCAGACCAATCAAGAACTGTTACAAACTATCATTTTATGGTTTCCCATGGTGTGTTAACCACATAAGCTTGTACTCTAGAAAGAAAATTAAGTCATAGATGTTGCATTCTGGGTTTGTTGCAACACTGTGACCTGAAATGTCAGTGAATTGAGATTAACCTTTAAAAGTGACAGTGGAGCTGGGAATGGAGCTCAGTGGTGGAACGCTTGTCCAGGATGTGCAAGGAAGACCTTGGATTTCATCCCTCCCCCACACCCCCAAAATAAAAAAGATTATGAGCCAGAAAGGAACAGTTCAACTTTGATAACAGCCGTGCTACTGGGTCTCATTGTGGGAAAGGTACTTTATCATCATAAGGCTTTTCATTTTTCATTATAGCTGTACCTCATACTGTAACAGTTTCTGGTCTATCCAAATCATCAGCTTCCTCAAAAGCTCCATGTCTTCTTTTTTCATCACATGAAATATTATGCTGGTCTCTGCTGGATGACCAGATGAATAAAATATATTCATTGCCATCACCATGCAATGGAAAGGTTGAATTTTGGTGACCAGAGGCCCTATGTGAAACACTTGCAAGGTGATTCTTTTTTTTATTAGTGTACATTAATTGTACTTTAAGGTTCTCATTATGACATTTCTGTGCTTCATTTTTTAAATGAAACAGAATCACTCTTGAAGGGCGTTATTAACAAACTTGCAGCTCATTTGGAAACGAGATCAAGGTGCGTCCTTTGGAAGGACACACTCCAGAAATTGGAAATCAGCCTTCTGATGACAATGTGCTTTCCTTCCTTTTTTCACCCTTCAGCATTCATCATCCTATGACTGGCTAACGTCATTATTAATTCCTTCTTATCATTTTACAACCAGCCTCTGGACGAAAGTGCATGGTGTCAGCTTGCTTGAAAATAACATTGCTTTGCTTGTTCTACTACTCTACATTAGGGGAGAATTTCGATCGCCAGGCCAGCCTTCGGCGGTCACTAATTTACACAGACACTCTGGTAAGACGACCGAAGAAAGTCAAAAGGAGAAAGACTATTACAGGAGTCCCTGACAACATTCAGAAGGAGCTAGGTATGGCTCATCAGAATTTTGTCCTGTTGCCCTTCCCACTTGTTGGCATTACTGAGCTAACCTCCTGTGCTGATCAGATCATACGCTCCGACAGCCGGCCTCTTTCCTGATGAGGCAGTAGGTGCAAGTCCTCCAGCCCGTGCAGGTGATTTTCTGCATTTCCGGGAGAAGGTGGAGGGGAGAGGTTCTATGAAAGCTGCTAACTGGGGTGATAGAAATTGAGAGTTGCATCATCATCTCCAGGTACTGCAAACATTGGTTATTTCCGCAATTAAATTGACTTTCATATCTTAAGTTTTCCTGAACTGAAAACCTCATCCTGGGGCTTCACTCGTCACACTAGTGAAGTGTGGATTTCATCATGAGAGGCAGCAGTTGGGATTGTTTAATGGTAGATGCCAATTCAATAGAAAGTGGTCATGTAGATACAATTCCATCATTACTTTCAACAAAACATTTTCATAAGCTTTTTTATTCAGTATCTCTCAACTTGTGATTAAAGCAGAAAGCAGTTTTTTAAAAATCAAGGCTGGTAGAAAATTGTGTAGCTCACTGTTCGCTTCCCATTGTGTTTGTGCTTATTTTCTATATGCTTTTGATAATCTTCATCCTCCTCCTTCTGCAATCTTTTCCTCTCCTTGTATTTTATGGGGCCCGGCAAGAGTGTCTGCAAGGACACTCTTGTGGGGTGTTAGGCCTCCAATGCCAGACTGCTCAGGTCTGAATCCTGATCCTGGCATGCCTGGGTCACCTTGGGCAGGTTACTTTACCTCTCTGGGTCCACTTCCTCACAAATGGGATGATGATCTTATTAGAACGATCTCATAGGGTTGTTAGAGGACTAAATGAATTTAAACATATGGTGTACTTAATTTCTGGCACAACTATAAATGTAATAGCCACTGTTGTCATTATTGTGGGGGATTTAATGTTATCTCCCTTGAAATTTGCCTCTTCCTCCTTACCAATCTATGGGCTTATTTCCTAATAACTGTTTTCACCTGATGTTTTAATTTACTTATTTTCCATTGAAGATGCAGTCTAGAAATGGAGTAATTTTTTCTGAGCTTCTGTACTAGTCTTTTAGTCAAAATGAACTTATCCTAGCAATAGTGATGTATCAATTACAGCACCTTGAAGGAACATTTCAGCTTTCAAGGCTCTAGGCATATATTGTGCCTATGTATTTTCCCCCAGTATCCCTGCTTAAATGTCTTGTATTAGAGAGAGAAGACTCACACTTCCTTAACTGCATTTTCCCTTTTATTGCCATCCAGTCCTAGAAAATCTGTGCCGTGCCTTCTAGACCATAGCAACATTTGGACAAGAGTAGTAGTGTGTTGCCTCTCTAGGTAACTCCAGTGACCTGGATACTTTGCAGGTGTTCATCTTATTCCATAGCAGAAGGGTTTATTACAAACAAAGGAAGGACTGCAAGTATACCCATGGAATTTGTGATGTCTGTATTGGGTTCATTTCCTGGATGCTACTTGAGCCCTGAAGTCACCCGCTCTAAATCTACACCTCAATGTACAGTGTACTTTCTTCTCCTCAAAACATAGCTGTGTCTCATTCTTTCAGACTCTTTTTTTTTTCTTTTCTTGAGATGACAGCTAACACACCTGAAAAACTAATCTATACTCATGCTCAGCCATTGGTTGATGAGCTAATTTCTTATGGTACTCAGGTAACATTCTACTTTAACTGGTCTTTTTAGAAGATGGGCCTTAATCTAAAGGAGTGATTTTAAGGACAGGCACTTAGGCCCTCTGATAGATGACAAGTTTGATGCCTTGTGGGAAGTTACATTTTAAGTGGCTTTCCAGCCCAAATAAATAGATTCTAGATGACTTTGTACAGAGTGTAAGAATAGTTTGGCTCAGATAAAGATGTGTACATGCATGTATACTCAGTGTGAATTGGCCATGTACATATGTAATAGGAAGCCTAGAACCTGAGGGTTAGCAGCTTTTACCACTTTTATTATTGAACCAACCAGGAAGAGCCGATATCTCCATTACTTCCTTGATTTTATGGAAATGAACTGTCCAGCTAGGAAAACCCTATCTTCTGTAATTTTAATATTTTTTAATCAATGATTGAGTCCCTGGAACCCATGTACCTCTCTCTTTTGCATGTGGCATGGAGCCAGCACTAATGCTGGAGAAAAGAAAGTAGCTTTCCTCACATCCCCCGTGCTGTGACTATTGCTAGACGTGGAACAGTCAGTGTCACTGCACAGTATATGGCATAACCAGACAACAGCTGGGCGGTTACTGACACAACTGTACTAAGTTAGAGCTATTTACAAAAAAAAAAAAAAAAAGACAATCAGACAATGACTCTAGTTTTATAGATAAGCTAGTTGGAGGGCTTTTGGTTCCAGTGAGGGAAGTAACATATTGGATTGTATATTTGCCCCATCCTTTCAAGACTTCTGGTATGATTTTACCATTTCTCTCAATATTTTATATTTACAAGGACTCTGATTTGCAAGTCTCTACTACTTAATGATCATTTCAAAAAATAAACATTTTGTATTTTCTTTAAAATTACTCTTTCTCTAGATTTGAACCACCAGAGGAAAAAAGAAAATGACACTGTCCAATTTGCCAGGTGTTTGGATTTTTAAAAACCCAGCCATACAGACATACTCCTGGTAACTAGAAAGATCCATTATGCTTAATTATAGGTAGTTTTTAGTTCAAAATCCATATAGGGGACTCTGGAGAGTAGTCCACATAGAGCTTTTTACAATCAAGGTATGACATTTAATGTTTACTTCCAAAGCATATCTAATGACCTATAATTTGTTCTCTTCCATTTAAATGTATTGGATACAGTTTCACATGTTTTGTTTTACCTTAAAATTACATAGAAACGAATCTGAACGTCATGATTTGGTTTCATCCTTTAGAATTAAGATAGGATTATTTTGTTGGTATAAAACTATATTTGGCCACTGAACTTATCCCGTAGATATTTTCAAAGTAGAAAAACCTTGTTTAAGACTTAAAAAATTCATATAGTAATTCTATGAATAAACTAGCTTGCAGGCTTAGCTGTAGAGTTCATGATTAGCCTTCTTGAGGCCCTGGGTTCAATCCCCAGCTTCAACCAGAGAAAAAACAAACAAAAACTACCACAGATTTTTGTCATCCTTAATTACATGTATGTTTCAGAAATTAGAAAGCCCTTATGGTATTATTGATGAGCAAAAGAAAAATTATACATAGTTACATCTTTACATCATGTTTTAAAATCCAGTAAGTTCCATCAGAACCTGTAGCATTTGAGTGATTTACATTTGTTTGGATTCTTTTTTTGTAATTTGTTTCGTAATTTGTTAGGTATAAATGTCACCTAATGTTGTAACACTTTCTTTTTCTTTTTCTCTCTCTCTCTTTTTTTTTTTTTTTTTTCCAGTGGTACTGGGGTTTGAACTCAGGGCCTCATGCTTGCTAGGCAGGCACTCTATCACTGAGCCAGTCTATCAGCCCTTTGTTTGTGCTAGGTGTTTTCGAGATAGGGTCTCTCAAACTAATTGCCCAGGCTGGGTTTTTCACCATAATCCTCCTGATTTCTGCCTCCTAAGTAGCTAGGATTATAGGATTGAGCCACTGGTGCCTGGATAGTATTGTGATACTTTTTATACTGTGAAAATATTACGGGTCTGTTTTGGGAATAGAATTTTGGTGGTCTCTGTGATAAAGTAAGTATATATTAGTTTCTCATATATTCTTAACAAACATTGTTATTTTAATTGGAATGTCATGTTCAAATGTAGATAGTGAAGAAAGCCCTATATTTCTACTTTCAGAAGCCTAGAATGATTTTATGCTCAAAGTTATTATCCAAAAATATCAGGCTTTTTATTTATGGCACTTAGATAGTTTAACAGTGGCAGTTAAAAAGTTTACCACTAACCCTAGGCAAAAGTCTCTACAGTTTTATGTTTGTTCTGTGTACGGTGCTGGGTATCAAACCCACCACCTCACACATGCTAGACACATGCTGTACCCCTGAGCCCACCACTACAGTTTTGAGAGAAAAAGATATTAAGCCCATTGTGTGGAATGGCATATCCTTGAATGTTTGGCATTGACCTAGGACAAACAGATACATCATACAATCACCTTCCATTTTCTAGATTACCAAATGGCAGAAACTTGTACTTTCTGATTTCTTTTGTCAAAGTAGATTTTTTTCTATGCCTTCCCTTTTGCCCATAAATTCTCTTTCTGAGAGACAGCCGTGTGTGGTGTGTGTGTGTGTGTTTTCAGTGAGGACCCAGAGCAGATAGACAGAAAATGGGGCATTCATGTTAAAGACACACCACAGTGAAGAAAACTTTATCTTCACAGGGTGACATCTTCTTGGGGACTGACATAAGCATATTACTGCCATTTTAGTAATGCCCTTTGCTACTCAAATAGCAAAAGGTCTTCATATATCCAGCTGGGGCCACATGCTGTATGATGGTAAAGTCATACGGTGTTCTTAGGAATCCCATCATTGCACTGTTTTTACGTAAGTGTCCAGTGATACAGACAGATGCCCAGCCAGCATAGCTCAGCAAAGTCTGGGCCTGACATCCTTTCTTTATCTTTACTTATCTGATGACAGTTTGTTGCCTTGCATTTAAATACAGTTGGCAAAATTTTGCATTTTCCCTGAATCTGGAGACTTCACAGGAATTAATCTGAACATTGTATAATGAGGTTTCATCTTTTAGAATGAGATAAGATGATTTTATTGGTATATAATTATATTTGGTTACTATCCCATACATGTTTCTTACTGAATGAAAAAGAGAGAAAAAGAACCATGATTTTACCACTATTTTTAAAAATTGAAACTGTTGTTCTAAGGATTGATTTTTTTTTTTTTTCCCCACTTCACTTTGGGTGAATTCTTGGCTTCATGACTTTTCTTGTAAGCTCTCTTCTTTTCTGGGTAGCCTGACATCAATTTATCTGCACTTACGGTTTTTTGTCATTGACTTGCCTCTCTTTTTACACTTCCTCATGTTTCTTTCATTCCTTTTAACATACTACTCTCTGTTTGGTTGTAAAACCCCAAGAAGTGAATAACCCTCATTTGAGAAATGTTTACTGAACCAGTTCTTACTGCTTCCCTACCCCCAACCACTACCACCAGAAGAACACAACAGATTGTTGTTGAATTTTGAATGTCACCAATAGACAGATGATAATGGCTTAAGATGGATACTGAAATGTTTGAAACACAGATGGGCCTGTAAATCAATTTTTATTTTCTTAGGATTTCCTTCTGACATAAAGAATCAATGTAATTAACATCATTTTATACCAGTAGCATTTCAATGGTATCTCTATGGCCCTATTATTCCATTATTACATATGTTTGTTTTTAGAAAAGATGGTCATTGCTTCATAGATGATCTGTGCCGCTCTCTGATGGGAGAAAGTCTACTTTGAAGTCTCTACCAAAAGTTGGTTATTTGAAAAGTACACCTTTCACTAAGTGCTCAGTGACCTTGATCTCAAAGGGCATACCTGAGAATTCTATATAAGGCACTCAAGCTGTAGGAGGATTTGAAGTACAATTAAGGAAAGCACATGAAATTAAAGATAAGGGCTTTTATTTTAGGAGGTATTGGGAACTATTTAAGCTCAGCTAGGTACCCACAGGAGAAAAGAAATCAAATGGGAGAGTTTTATTTTTTATTTTTTAATTACAACAGTCAGAAGGGCTGAAGGTACAAGTGATGGCTTGTGGGTTTGTAATTTCAGGTAACAAGCCTCTTTCTGCTTTATCTCCAGCATCAGGTACTGGCCAAGATGATGTTGGTGGTCACTCGGTGCACACCCCAGACCACTACTCTACATTAGAAAGACTTGATAGCTATCAGTCTGCTGTGCAGTGCTCAGAAACCAGGGGCTCCAGCTGTCAGACTGAGGATGTGAAGGTTGTTCCACCTTCAATGAGAAGAATCAGGGCACACAAGGGGCTAGGCATTGCCGCCCAAATGAGCCACTTCTCAGGCTCCTCTGGGAACATGTCTGTGCTGAGCGACTCTGCGGGTATTGTGTTCCCTTCTCGCCTCCACAGTGATGCTGGTTTCCACAGTCTTCCACGCTCGGGAGCTAGGGCAAGCACCCATTCCCTGGATGCAAGGCTGCGTGCCCTGGGCCCTGCAGAAGACATGGAAGACCCTTTCCCCTACCAGAGGCCCAAATCCCAGGAGATGAGGCACTTGGAATTTGAAACTGTAACCAGCCCAGCCTGTGTGGTTTCTCCTCATGCCACCTACTCCACCAGCGTCATCCCAAATGCCACACTCTCATCCTCTTCTGAGGTTATTGTTCTTCACACTGCTCCGAGTGCAGGGCAGCTGGACAGTAGGAAGACCAGCTCCTCCTCATATGCAAAGGTAAAATCCAGGGACCACCTTATTTCCAGATGTACTGTGAAAGACGATCATCAGCCTCCCAGTCGTCACTGGAAGGCCGGTCACTCACAGGCCTTAGACTCCCCTTCCCCCAGTGCCACCACCCTGTTGTCCCTCTGTGATTCAGACAGCTCTCTAAATGCCCCAGCAAACAGGGAGAATGGGTCCCAAGCCATGCCCTATAATTGTAGAAACAACCTGAGTTTCCCAGCGCTCCCCCAAGACGTGGATGCCAAAAGCGAGTCTAGTTATTCAGGTGACAGAGGACACGGTGGCTCGGAGCCCTGGGAATACAAAGCCTCCAACAATGGGCGGGGCTCCCCACTGAAGCCGCACCTGGCCACTCCTGGTTACTCCACTCCCACGAGTAACATGAGCAGCTGCAGTTTGGACCAAACATCCATTAGAGAGGATACCAGGTCCCTGTATTCAGAGGACCACGATGGCTATTACACATCTCTGCACAGTGACTCTGGACGTGGGTCTGAGCATCTGTGCAGTAGCAGTGAGGGCTTTGGGAACCCCAGGCACAGCGTAGTCAATGTTTTTGATGGAAGAGCTCAGAAAAGCCAAGGGGACCGGTCCAGTTATCTTGATAAATCCCTTTCTAGAAACATCTCTCTGAAGAAAGCAAAGAAGCCTCCCCTGCCACCCTCCCGGACTGACTCTCTCCGCAGGATTCCCAAGAAGGGCAGTCAGCCCAATGGGCAGGTGCTCAACGAGAACCTGATCGCCACATTGCAGCACTCCCTGCAGCTGAGCCTCCCGGGCAAGGGCAGTAACTCACCCTCACACAGCCCCTGCAGTGACTTCGAGGAGCCCTGGCTGCCTCGCTCCCGGAGTCAGAGCACAGTCAGCACCAGCAGCAGCATGACCTCAGCCACCACCCCCAACGTGTATTCCCTATGCGGGGTCACGCCGTCACAGAGCGACACCAGCAGCGTTAAGTCAGAGTACACGGACCCTTGGGGTTACTACATTGACTACACAGGCATGCACGAAGACCCAGAGCACCCAGCAGGGGGCTGCTCAGCCAGCAGTGGGACTTCAACTGGAAATGGGCCAGTCCGCCAGGTACAAGAGGGATCCAGGCCCACAATGCCCCATGTGCCTGGTGGCTCAGTCAAACCAAAGATCACATCACCAGAGAAGTCACAGAGAGTCACTTCTCCATCCAGTGGCTATTCCAGCCAGTCAAATACACCCACAGCACTCACTCCTGTGCCTGTGTTTTTAAAATCCATGTCACCAGCAAATGGGAAGGGGAAAACCAAGCCCAAGGTACCAGAAAGGAAGTCCTCTCTGATCTCATCGGTATCCATTTCTTCCTCGTCCACTTCTCTCTCCTCCAACACGTCTACTGAAGGAAGTGGCACTGTGAAGAAGCTGGATTCAGTCATGGTTTCACCCTTGGCTCCTCCTCCTCTCCCATCTTCACATCCCACTGACAAATCTTTTCTTCTTCCTCCTCCTCCTCCTATAGCAGATTGCTCTGAGGGCCCCCCTCTGCCTGCCTCTCCTGTATTCCCTCCTCCACCACCAGAAGCCCTGGTCCCCTTCTGCCCCACCACTGATGGGTGCCTTCTTCCTCCCCCCACAGCACTGAGCCCCCTCCTTCCAGATTCCTCTGCTCCTTTGCCAGAGCCTCCACCTTTCTTGCTCACCTTAGAGCCCCCACCTGCCCCACCTCTGGACCCCAAATTCATGAAAGATACCAGGCCTTCTTTCAAATACTCTTGTCAGTCCGAGTCTTCCCGGGAGGCCTTCAAGCCACCTGTGACCAAGGAGGACAGCGGCAGGCCCCCCATGCCCCTGATCACCACAGAAGTGTTGCAGACGGTACAGCTGAGGCCCGTGAGAAAGAACTCTGGTGCCGAGGCAGCACTACTGTCTGAACCAACAGCTCAGGAACAACGAACTCCGACTGCTCCACAGTATCACTTAAAGCCATCTGCTTTCCTCAAATCCCGAAATAGCATAAATGAAATGGAGAGTGAAAGCCAGCCTGCCTCCCTGACAAGCTTGCTTCCGATGCCTGCCAAGAGCCCAAGTCAGGGTGACCACGACAGTGCAGCCGAGCGTGGCAGCCCTCCGAGCTGCAGCCATGGAGCTTCACGACTGGAGCCCAGCACTGGGGAGGCAGAGGCTCGGCGGGTCCCCAGGACTGCCCCACTTCCAGACTCTTCACCCAGCAAGAAACCACCCCCCATCTCCAAGAAGCCCAAACTGTTCCTTGTGGTGCCACCTCCGCAGAGAGATTTCACAGCAGAGCCCACAGAAAACGGGAGAGAAGCCTTTCGAGGGGTGCCTAGCCCCACCAGGGTAGGAGAGGGCTCTGGGCACAGCCACGAGGCAAAAGAGAGTCCTGCAGCTCGAGCTGGTTCTCATGCCATGGTCCCTGGCTGCTTGGTTCTGGAGAGAGGAACTGCAGGATCCAAGTCCCCTAGCAGAGTGGAAGCCAATGCCCCCATGGTACAGCCCGATGCCTCTCCAGCCCCCTCACAGGAAGAGCCAGCTGAGAGCCGCTTGGATGGTGGGGGCAATGCAGAGAGCTGCCCATCTCTACAGGACAGAGAAGGTAAGTCTGGCATCTCTCTGCTTTGCGCCTCTGATCACTTGAAGCTGAGCCAAGCTGGGCTGCTGAAGACTGGCTCATATGCGGAACCAGGTAGATCAGACTAAACTCCTGTTAAGCCAGCCGTACGGGGGCTTCTTATATATTGCCACCAACTTTGCATTTTATGAATTTTTTTTTAAAATCCAGAGTATTAGAATGGTAGAAAATAGGGAGGTGGGGGTGGTCTACGGCAGGCTGGGTGTGAACTAGCAATGAGTAATCTCTCTTCTGAAGAGCTGCAGTGAAACGTTCTAACGAAATATAAGGGCTATTCAGTGCAAGTTCTAAAACAGAAAAGACTGAGCCCCAAGTGTCAGGCTAGTATCATTTCCCCAGGTCTCCGTAAAGCTACAAAGCCTGCTGCAGTCCGCGTCCTCCCATTGTCAGGAATGGCAGGGAAGCAGCATATTTCAGAGTTTGGCAAAGGACTGAAATGCTAGTCACTGCGTAAATTGTGTTGCCTGCTTGCTTGCTTTCTGTAGCAAGGGTGCTGGAGACCAGTGCAGCCAGTGCCTCCTCAGAAGCCTGTGACTTTAAGGAAGATGAGAGTGATGAGGTGGTGACCCCCACTAAACCCAGGACCACAGAAGACCTTTTTGCAGCTATTCACAGGTATCCAAAATGCCTTCCTTGTACTCGTCTACGGTGTAATTCCTTCTTTTCAAATAGTTCCCCTATTTTATTTTCTCAAGGTTTCTTCTGTCACCCAATTATGACTCATTAACTTTCTTATCCATTTTTCGTGTGCATTTTATACTTTTATTTCCTCTCACTCCAGTTTCTGTTTTACTTTGTGCCATTGGTTTTTATGACAACATAGGGGACAAAGACTCAATATATATACCTTCTGGTAGACAGTGCTCTTGCTGGCACTGTCTCAGCTGATTTCATATCTGGATATTGTGAGTACTGCTGTGATCAATGTCAATGCACACGTGTCATTCTTTTATGTTGATTTATACTCTTTTAAATCTATGCTCAAGAGTGGTTTAGCAGGTCATATGACAGTATTTACAAGAACTGGATTAGAGCAGCACAAATCCAGGCCAGGGTGAGGAATACTGGGTCTGTGGACTCAGGATGAACAGACTAGCTCTACAGAATTCCCTTCCTAAGGGTGTTTAGTTTATTTTTTATGTTTTGCATTTTACAGAAAATCCATAATTTTGCAGTGCAATTTCTTTGGCTCCTTCAGTGTTTCAGTAAGAGTACATCTCTTTTTAAGCTGGAGCAAAAGGAATGAAGTTTGCTTGTTACTATGTACCACTAGTGCCATCTGCTGGCGTCAGAAATAATTTGGTTTAAAACGAAGTACAGAGTCAAGTTTTCAAAATACACTGCCTGGACTGTTATTGTTTGTATACGTAGTCACCTTTAAGAGTGAGTATGATTTGGCACTAACATTCTGTTGATTACGTTGTTTGGTTGTAAACAGCCGAGTTGTCACACTGTGGTGCAATTGTAAAAATTGATAAGATTGTACGTGTGCAAATACTTTAAACTTTGTGCTTCCTTCTAGACTTCCTTACTACAGAATTTTCAGGTAACTTATGAGTGCTGCTGAGACCTTATTTTGGCATTTATTCTTCCCTTTTTTTTGCCCTTTATGAAGCAAAGCTGCCTATAAAATTATTTGAGTCTCTGTATAAACAACCTGTGCCAGTACTGTTCCCCAGTACTCAGAATTTAACTGAAAGGACTCTTGCATGGGATGGAATGCATGATGCTGTCCCTACCTGGAACTCCTCATTCAACACACGAATGTCTAATTCGGGAAGAAAGCAAGCTGGCAAGTTGATCTGTCCATCGAGAATTTGCCCAGTGTTCATTGCCTTTCCACTGTAGTTTAGGTGAAATAGCCCCTAAAGACTGGCTCCTCTTACCATGTCTCACTAGTTTCTTCGAGTTCATTCAAAATAGAAAGGTAGCTATCTATCCAACTATTTCTCAGAATCAGGAAATGAAAAATGGTGCATCTTTTGAAAGCAAACTTAGTGACATTTCTAGAAGTTTATATAGATGTTTTTAACTTCAACCATGCTGGACACATAACAAGCATTCAATAAATATCTTCTGAATTAAATGAAACCAACCGGACTTTAATTGTCAAGAAATTCTTCCAAGATTCCAGGTCTCTCATTTACTATGGAATGCATTGAGTTGCTAAATATACAGGAATATATATTTATAATAGCAAGCCACAGACATTTGTGTTGCCTAGTTGCTCTATGTACTAAATACTTGCTTTTAAGGAAGCCCAACTGTTGTGGGGCCGAGTTTACTGCATACTTTTCCTAAAAATATGTCAAAGGTCTCTTCTATATTTTATTTTGGCAACCTTCAGAAGACACTGGAAAGTTTGTGGCTTCTCCTACTAGACAGTTACAACTACAGATGTGAAAATCGGCCAGTCTGTATTATTCTCTGTACACATGAGAGAGATAAAAGCCAAGTGGCCCTGGAAGTGGATAGCAAAGAAAGAGCAAGGACACATGCTAATTTCTGCTGTAGCTTTAGTACTGTATCAGCAGTAATAAAAATCCATGTAAAGTCTGTGATATTTAGGACTTTATTTACTTCAGCACCTAAATTCATAATTTAAAATAAAGACTATCTAAATTGAGGCACAGCTTTCAAATTTTCTAATGCAAATTAGTTCACTTCAGATTTAAGGCCAGATGGAAAGTGTAGAACACATTGAGGTGTGAAGTTTTTGTATTTATTGAAGTAATTAGTTTTTGAACCAGTGTTAACTGTTTCAGTCCTTTTCTTCTTTAGAAATGCACAAGGAATTCATGTATAAATTTAACTCTCATTGTAAGGGGCAGGTGCTGCTGAGAAACAGCAATGCTTTTATAAAATCCCATCATCTCCTTTAATTCTATAATTAGAGGCCATAGTTTTTAAGCCAGTATATTTGTGGCTTATTTATGTCTCTCAGCACACCCACCACCATTTAAAAACCGAACAAAATACTACCCCACAGGGCAATATCTGAAAGATTAAGATGAGCAGAGTGGCTTGAGTTGGGGGTTACCCGTGTAAATTATGAGTCCACGTGCTGTCAGTGGAAAGAAACTGCATTGAGTCCTGGTTGTCTTACTCACCCTCTGTGTGTGTCTTCACTCTCTAGACCTCCATTTCTTTCTCTAAAACCCAAAGTGGCCGAACCATTTCTAAATTCTTTTCCGGCTCTCTGACTTGGAGATGTTTTATTTTTGTGGTCTGTTGTAGGTTATTAACTGACACTAGGGCACTGCCCTTTTTGACCACTGATGAAAGTATCATAGGCCACATTTTGCTGACCTATAGCCACCAGGGCTCTGGGACCTGTCTCGGATCCTCACCACTGCCTATCCTCCACCATTTTGTTTTGCCAGAAGCATGTAGACAACACTGGAAGCACCAAAGGCTCCCAGAACAACCAACATGGGCCCATCCTCCCCTCTGCCTTACTGTGTAGGCCATGTGAAAGCTAAAGCCTGACCTGCTGGCAGGGGGAATTCATTTCCCAGTGTGACACTCGAAGCTTTGTTAAGCATTCTTCCATACCTGGCACTTTATGGGTGTTACTCCACTCATCTTTATTGACAAATGATGAGTTAGACAGTCTTCTTTTTCCCACAGGGAATTTAACTTGCCCAAGGTCATACAGGGAAGCTTTAGCAATGGAATTTAACTGAGGTCTGTTCGACTTCAGAGGTTCTTTCTTTCTTCCTCCGCACAAACATACCCATTTTCCAAGTATGAAGACTGAAATGCAGCATTGATGGCCAGCTTGTCACAGGTCACACAGCTGGAAAGGTGAAACTGAGAGTCAACTCTTAATCTGTGTGTACTGATACCACATTCCCAACTTCTCCTTGCTGCAGAGGCTATGATTTTGTAACAGGAGAGACAGACACGTGCCTTCTTATGTAACCTATATCAAGATCCCATAGGCAATAGATGTGCACACAAATAGTAGCTGGTAAAAAGAGACCAGCAAGGGGACTTCACTCTCTGTTATCACCATCTCCCCACATTGAAGAGGTTCTTAGAGACTGAGGACAAGAAATCCCCATGGAAAACACCTTTCTTTCCCAGATCTACTCCTTGTTCTACCCCTCACTTTTTCTTGAGAGTGCGAGGTTTTCTGAAGTCTACCATGAAATGGAGCTGGCACAGAAGGCTCATTCTTTTTTTTTTTTTTTTTAAATTTCCCCTGAAACACTGGATTTCTGGGAGTTGACACAGGGCCCTGTAGAAACTGAGAAGGAATTTTGTGTCAAACTCTAGAATGAATGAGAGTGCAACGTTGTAGTGTTGTCTAGAACCTGGAGTGGGGCGTGTCTTAGGGATAGTCTGGGCACTGGCTCATCTATCAGGCCTGACCAAGACAAGCAAGAGTAGAAAGATGACACCTGTGAAGTCCACAGGATAAGCCCAGACCAAAAGAGCTGTGTGAAAAGCTGTGAATGCTGAGAACTTTGGGTGCAGGCCTCAGAGAAGTAGGTTAACAGTGTCTGATGTTTGTCTCAAAATAACCCAGTAAAGGTGGAGAGTGGCCATGGGCAGTGACTGATGAACATCCCTTGGTAATGCACTGTGAGGGTGTTTGACCGTCTCCATAGTGACAGTCAATCTTTTAAGTCAGTTTTAAGTCGATGGTGACCCAAGATGCGCTGCGATTGTAGCAAAGGTTCAGGAGGACTAACCTTTATCTCAATGTCGTTGCATCTCAGATCCAAGAGGAAAGTGCTTGGCCGCAAAGATTCCGAGGACGACCACTCCCGAAACCACTCTCCCTCCCCACCAGTGACACCCACTGGAGCTGCCCCCAGCTTGGCCTCTCCCAGGCAAGTGGGGTCGATTCAGAGAAGCGTGCGCAAGAGCAGCACCAGCAGCGACAACTTCAAGGCCCTGCTGCTCAAGAAGGGGAGTCGCTCGGATGCCAGCGCGCGCATGTCGGCGGCCGAGATGCTCAAGAGCACTGACCCCCGCTTCCAGAGATCCAGGTCGGAGCCCGCGCCCGACGCCCCTGAGAGCCCGTCGAGCAAGAACAGGAGGGCGCAGGAAGAGTGGGCCAAGCACGAAGGCCTCATGCCACGGAGCCTGTCCTTCTCCGGGCCCCGGTACGGCCGCAGCCGCACCCCTCCCTCAGCGGCCAGCAGCAGGTACAGCATGCGGAACCGCATCCAGAGCAGCCCGATGACGGTCATCTCCGAGGGAGAAGGGGAGGCCGGGGAGCCTGCGGACCCCAGAGCGCGCTGGGTGCTGGACGCGGCCAGAGAACGGTCCCTGGACGGACTGTCGCGCGAGCAGGTGAACCAGGGCCATCTGCCATGTGGCCCGGAGCTCAACGCCTTGCAGTCTGGGGCTCCTGGCCCCCCAGGTGGGACAGCCAGAGTAGAGGACAGGGACCCTTTGGAGCAGTGTCGGGATGCTGGGAGGAAGGACAGTTAGGACCAGAAGGCACCTGATCTGGATGAGTTGGAGGACCAGAGGAGCTCTGCTCTGGGAAGCCTGAGGGGCCTTTCCTGGCTGTCCCTGGCCCCACTCAGCATCGGTGCTGGGTATCCAAGCACTGTGGATCACTGAGGTCTCACTTGCCACTTGCCATGTGGCTTAAAAGCAAGTAGAAGCTTAAACTTCTGAAAGTGCTTCCTGGGGAAGATTTTGTTGTTTCATAAATGCTGGGCGTGTGTGTGTGTGTGTGTCTGTGTGTGTGTGCGCTGGGTGCATTTTGAACACTTTCATTTTTAAACAAATATGCACGCTAACAGCCTGTACAGAAGTAGGAGAAAGAAGGTCAGAGTTAAGCTAGGTAGAGTGATAGGGTCTTCTGGACTAGTTGGCATCTGGCTTGGGAGAATTATGTTTATGGAATTAGTGAGTCCTGGAGGAAGGGAGAAGGCCATTACTTCTTTAAATTAAAAAAAAAAAAAAGCAGTAGCACGGATACATGCACACGTGTGCTGCTGAGGGGACACAGTATAGGGAACACAATGGGCTAAGTGACTAAGTGGTTCCGGTACTTTTTTCAGGGGGAAAAAGGCTTTGTTTCTTTTTTGTAAAAATGACAAACCTGGAAGTGGCAATGCTGTAACCTGGTGCCTGCTGCTGTGCAGCTGTGAAAGTGCATGGAGTTGACATGAATGTCCTCCTTAAGAAGCAGCTGAGCCCTTCTCTGAGAACTTGAACTTGACGTGATGGTATAGATGGGCCCAGGGGGCAAGAGGAGAGAGAAAAAAGAAGAAGAGTAAGTGATACACTGCTGGAATTTGTTTCCTGCTTATGAAATAAAATTATTTTTCAGAATTAAATTTGAAAACTTGCACTACAGAACTGTGGGTGTGAAGGTTTCCCTTTTACAAGAGTTTTTTTTTTTTTTTTTTACCAGAGTTTAAACTTCGTTTGGCAATTCTTATCACTTGAAATGTTAACATTTGCTAACTTTTGGATATTCTTTTGGTTATACCAAAGAAAAATATGCTATTTTTTTCCTTGAACTGCCTGCAGCATCGTGTCCTAATTTAGAAAGGTTTACCAAATCTATTATATATTATCTCACTTTGAAAAAAATGCTGAATAGCTCTTGTTAGTTAAATAAACTGATACAGGTTGGTAGGGCTTGGGTATTAATTAGCCCTGGGGAATGAGTTTTTAGATTAAAAAGATTTTTTTGCATCATTTGGTTCGTGTGTTTTTATATTTGTTTATAAACAATTGTGTTACTAACAACTTTTCAATCTCCAATCAGAATTCCAACACTTGTAGACATGGGAGAAAAGTATAGGAAGTATTTATTTTAACGTGGTAATTCTTGTGGTCCTCCCTCTATTCCCAAAGTCCGTGTACTTAGAGTAAACCACAGTCATGTATTTGAAGGACTCACGAATGAAGATGCTGAGATCTTTGGTCTAAATCCAGTGTATCTGTCAATCACCATCGACAGTGGTATGAAAACGACCTGAGTGGACCACGCTAGTGAAATCATCACTAGGCTTCTTAAGGAAAACTTTGATTCCCATTTTAGACATGTCTTTGAGGAAAGAGTTAAGGCTCCTTTTATTCTCTGCAGAAAACAAAGCCCTTCTTTTTCTACACCAAGAAATCAAGACCTAACTTGTTGCTATACAGGTTCAAGGGCTTTTTATCCCTTGGGGCAATCGTCTACTGTAATGAGGCAAATGGCTCATTTTAGCAGTGTTGGCTTTTGAAAATGAAATCTTTCCATAGCTACCTTAAAAATTAGAATGTATGTAGATATCAGAAATCTTGAACTTAATCATTTGCTTGAAAGTAAGATAAGCAACATCACAACTAATTATGAAATAATTAAACATCCCTATTTTTAAAAGATATTTATTAGATTTTTAAATTTACTTTGAATAAAACAGTTGTAAAGTCAATATTTGAAACTTACTTCTTTTTGTTTGTACATGTGTTTTTTGGATAATGAAATAAGTCTTCTTGTACCAAATTGTTGAATGCTTTGCTGGAAACAAAAAGAACAGCAGTGAAGATCAGAAGGTGCCTGTGGGAGGTGGGGACCCCACAGTGAGGAGAAAGAACATCACGGACACTAGGGTGTCTAAAAGAACATTTTGGGGGGTGGGGGGGAACGACTCCAAATAAAATAAGGGCTTTTGGATGAAATGCAAATAACATATCTACTGGTATCAGATGCTATGACAGGTGAAGGGATGTGAGAGCCTCACAAGTGTGGATGATATATGGAGAAGCAGGAATCTAGACTCACTCCTAAACCCATATAGCCTCAGCTGTACTACTTGACCCTCCATGAGGGCTGCTTTTTCTTTTTTTTTTTTTCCGGTGCTGGGGACCGAACTCAGGGCCTTACACTTGCCAGGCAAGCGCTCTTCCACTGAGCTAAATCTCCAACCCCAGGGCTGCTTTTTCTGGGCTGCATCTTACTCAAAGCTCCATGAGGGGAGATGGATAGCCTTCCTTACACCAGAGTCATGGAAGCCCCAGGGCTTGTTCCACTTTATTTTTTCTAAGAGTTGGAGAGAAGCAAGTGAGCATGTGGTCTGTCAGTTGGAAACAGTCTTGACTTTGGTCTGATTTCTGCCCTCCTACTGTTTCTGAAGAATCTTGATTGAAATCTGTCACTTTCTTTGTGGGAATGAGATATACAGTTGGCCCTCCCTATCCACGAGTTCTGCATCTGTGCTTTCAACTAATTGCAAATCAAAAATATCTGAAACAGGTGCTGGGGATATAACTCAGTGGTAGAGCACTTGCCAACATTTGCAAAGCAGTACGTTCAGTCCCCAGCACCACAAAAAGGAAAATGAAAAAAAAGAGGAGAGAATCTGAAAATGATGCATCTCTACTGAACACGTAGACTTTTTCTTATCATTGTTCCCTAAACACCTCTTCCCATAGCATTACATTGAATTAGCCACTCTGTAATCAATCATAATGCATGCAGGGTTATATACAAATATGAGGCTATTTTATGGCTATATTCATTTAGGAAATCACAATGACGAGGAAAGAAAAGGAAGGAGGCATTTTACATGTTAATTCCTCACCCACAGGTGACACACTCCACTCTGTGGCTGCTATCCTGGGAACACAGGTGAAACACTGGATAGACTCCATTGGTTCTGCATTAATGTATTTGCAGCGTACGTGTAAAAGCATTCTGGTTTGGGTGGGACTGGGGTTTGAACTCAGGGCCTCACACTTGCAAAGCAGGTGCTCTACTGCTTAAGCCACACCTCCAGCCCTCAGTCATTCTTTATTTTGCTGAGATCCATCATAAATGGACACAGTAGGATAATTTGGTTCATTTTAGGATATTGGATTTTAGGATTTGAACAAAACATGGACCTGATTTTTAAGGTCCATTTCCTTAAATGGGTTACTGGAATAGTTCCTTTCAGTGAACTGCTATAACCTACCTTCCATACTGACCAGGCTTTTTTCACAGGACAAGGACCAGAACAGCTGTAGTCATTTATTTTGCCATGAGAAAAAGTTCTTTAAATGAGCTATCATTAAGGAGTTCAACCCCAGGAAAAAGGCTATCCTACAAAATCTGTATCAGCATCAGAATAGATATGCAGGGGGAGTATCTGGGCTCTAGCTAACTCTGCTGGAACCCCCACCTGTTATCTGTCAAAACAAAATGCCACAAAATGCCTAAAACTGTCCAGGCTGCCAATGTGCCCAACCAAAACACTGCCTCACAGGTCTCCAGTGGACTGGAGGGGGTTTGAGTGGCACAGCTTTGCGCCCCCATGGATAGTAGTCTGGAACCTTGCTTTCCTTATATAGGTGTTGTCCCCTCCCCTTGTGGCATCTCCTGTTTCTCCCTCAAACAGATGGAAGGCTGGAGGAGAAACAGTGATCTCAAACTGTGAGCCACCAAAGAGGATGTCGGGAGATATTACAGCAAAAATAAAATTCAAGCTCCTTCCTGTGGTCTGCACCACCTTCAAAGTCTGCCACTGCCTCCTGACACAAGATTTGCTTTCTTTGTGTCACTTGACAGAAGCTGCTTCCTGCCATAGAGTCTTTGTCATTAATGAAAATATAAGTTCTTATAGTCCTCTGCCAGGTCAGGTTCTTCAGAAAGGAAACCCTTTTGGTGCTTTGGGAGCACCAAAGTTCTTACTGCAAAGGAATGGGAGGAAGCAGAATTGGGCAGGGTGATTAGCAGATTCTGTCAGTCTAAAGTACAGATCCTATGAAACCACCAGTCCCATGGGGATCTCTGGAGAAAAGATCCCTCATGGGAGGGATCAGCCATGGGGAGGACCTCCTACAGCAATGGTTAGATCTTTGACAAGAGGCCATCCTGAGAAAAATATGCCTGCCATTTCCATAGTTTTAATCACTAACCTCTAAACCCTCCTCCCTTAAGAACTGTGTGACCTCAACGAGGATTCCAGTGGTACTGGAAGCTATCCTCATTCCTTGCAGCTGGTGCAAGTCTTTTCTTGAAGAGTTAGCTCAGTGATAGATCTCCATGCCTGCCACAGTCCATCTCTTTCCGCATGTGGATCCACTTTCCTATAAACACGTGGAGAGCAGCTCCTCCAGGACTCTGATAGGGCTTTAATCTTCAGGGGAAAATTTAAAATTGCACATCGGTGGGACCAACTATATAGCACCTTCCTGCAATTGGTCTTTTTTTTTTTTAATTTTTTTATTATTCATATGTGCATACAATGCTTGGGTCATTTCTCCCCCCTGCCCCCACCCCCTCCCTTACCACCCAGTCCACCCCTCCCTCTCCCCCCCACCCCCTCGCTACCTGGCAGAAACTATTTTGCCCTTATCTCTAATTTTGTTGAAGAGAGAGTATAAGCAATAATAGGAAGGAACAAGGGTTTTTGCTAGTTGAGATAAGGATAACTATACAGGGAGTTGACTCACATTGATTTCCTGTGCGTGTGTTACCTTCTAGGTTTAATTCTTTTTGATCTAACCTTTTCTCTAGTTCCCGGTCCCCTTTTATTGGCCTCAGTTGCTTTTAAGGTAACCTGCAATTGGTCTTTAAGCCACATTCAGCATTCCTTCCTCCACTCTTGATCCCCTCACCCTCTCACCTCTGCTGGTCTCTGACTTTCCTAATGAGAGCCAAGCTCTCCTTCTTGAAGATCCTGAACTGGGACCTGAACCTTTGTCAAATGAGTGTTGCTACACTTGTCTGTTCAGTTGTAATTGGGAAAAGAGCACATTGGGCACCTCCAGTGTCACCTGAGTTCCATGCATATCATTCCCTGCCCCCATAATGTAACAGCAGTTCAGGCTCAATTACCCCTGTCAATATGTGGGCTCCTCTTGCCTACTGGTCCCTGGACACAAGGAATCCAGAGTTTCCAGATGGCAGCAGTAGATTATATTTCATCTTGCTGTGTTGCCTAG